TCTTTTATGTACTTTTCCACTAAAGTGTGTTTTTTTTTCTCGATTAGATAGATTATTTTAACTGTCGGATGTTACAGATATTTCTGCCCATTTGGCCTTTGCTTGTGACTTCTGTTTATGGGTCTTTAGGACTTTATAGGCATTAAATAACTTTTATGTTAAGTAGTGCAGTCTCTGTATGTCTGCCTATACTGTCATGCTTAGGGCTTTACTAATTTATGGTTATATATAAAGTTTCTTCTAATCTAGAAATATTGGTGTGTATTATAAGATAGGGCTCTACTTTTTCTTCTCTTTTTTCAAAAGATTAACCAATTCTAAATCACCTTTTACTGAATATTTCCCACTGAACTTAGATGCCACCATTATCACATTAGTGACTTTTTAAATGTATACAAGTGTTTCTTTGGACCACTCATTTATATAATCCTAGATGTTTTAATTATAGCTTTACAAAATATTATATTTAATCAGGCATGTACTCCCCCTTGTTACTGTACCTTTAAAACATTTTCTTCATTAATGTAATATGTTTATTCCAAGAAAATTTACAATCATTTGATTAGGTTCCTTGCCCCTTACATCAAAGAAAATACCATTGAGAGTTTGATTGGGATTGAATTATAAGTAGTTATTAATAACTAGAATACGGACATGGAAACTATGTAATCTTGGAAGTTGGTATGTCTCCTTTCAATTCTTTGTCCCTCAGTATATTCTGAATGACTCTCCACCCCCCATATTAGCTCAGGATTATTTTGCTAAATTTATTCCTAGGTATAATATGCTTATTTGTTGGAATATTTTTATCCTCATTATACCTTCTTCCTGAATATTAATATACTTGTAACCAGCTTCTTTACTGGATATTCTTTTTAGTTCTAATGATTTTAAGTTGTTTCTTTTGGATTATGCAAATATATTGTGATATCATTTATAAATAGTTATAGTTTAGCTCCCCCTTTGTCCTTTCCACTGCTACTGGTTGTCTTTTATTTCATTTTCTTTATATATGGTATTGATCAGAGTGTCTACAATAATTGGGAACAGTAAGAGTGATATTCTTGCCCTGTTTCCAGAAATTCTTCTAGTTTTCACTACTAAGTTGATCTTGGCTACTGGTTTAGTATCTTTACATCTGTAACTTACAAGAGGTTTTAAATGGAAATAGTCTTTGAATTGTTTACTGCCAAAGTAAAGCACACATGGTAAAAACATTCAGACCAGAATACAGGTCTTAGAGTGAAAAGAGTTTATTTCTTCAATTTTTTTCTTCCCCTCAGTGGTTCTTTGCTTCCTTCCTTCCATCTTTCCTTGGGGCTCTTATCTGCAGTATATTTAACTATGTAAAAATTAAATTTGTGAGGCACAAGGTCCTAACCAATATAAGATTAGCCTGAAATTATATATTTGCAGCACATACAGATACAATCTAGGACTAAATTCAAGGCTATCTGAAGGACTCCTACAAATTAGTAAGAGATACACAAGCAACCACATAGAAGTAGGGAAATGCATGTTTAGAAGAAACTCTTTTAAGAAACACAAATGAAAACATAAAATGAAAAGATGTTCCACTTCATTCATTGTTTGACTGACTGATTTATGGAAAAGTACACACAGAGTTAATCAAGGATAAAAATAGTTGTAAGGTAGGTAAGTGATACAGCGTATCCTGTACACATTGAGCTGTATGAAGTAGATGCCCGGCTGTGCCCGCACATGGCAGGCAAGCTTCTTTCCACTTCCCAGGGAAGCGTTTACTGTGCAGTCCATTACATACAATAAGGTGAGGATTCGTCAGGACTTTTGATAGGCCTGCTGCATTTCATTCTTTTTTTTTTTTTTTTAAAGATTTTTTTTTTTATTGGGGAATTGGGGGGATGAGAACAGTGCTGGGGAATTGGGGGAAGGGGGACAGACAAGTTGCTGTCGTTTTGTTCTTCAGTCTAGTTGTGGAGGATGTTGCTTCACTGGCCCAAGTTGGCACCATCATTGTGCTCTTCCTGGCGGGGCAGATCAGTCGCCGGCTTCTGGACGGCCACTCACTGCGGCTGCTGGCCGCTCATGCTGGCTGCTGGCTACACACGGTAGCCCATGGCAATCCACTGCCACAGGGACTGCAGCCCACGCCGTCGCCGGCGACTTGCATTTCATTCTTGAGGGTAGAGGAAGGTTGTCAGATCTCCCTGGTCCTTCTCAAGTGTTCTAGAGACCCTGGCCATATGCCTACCTGTTCAACAAGCACAAATAGCTTATAATACATTCATTAGTTATATTACTGATCATTAACTGTGAAAGAGCTTGGTTGCCTTTCCATATAATACATACTGTCCAGCTTTCAGTTTCTAATATATTCTTCCCTAAAAGGAACCAGATCTCCTAGAGGAATCCCGACGAGCTTGAGACACTATGCTGTTATAAGAAAGAAAGGTTATTTTGAAGACATCTGGCAGTTGTAACAAGGGAGCCAGATTAGAGGTACTCTCACTGGTCAGTATGGGACACTTTGGAGTATTAAAATGAGAATAAGAATTTTAATTGATTGAAAAGTTGGTTCTACAAAGATCATAGCTTCATTATATGATCAAAGGGAACAAACAATCTAAAATATGCTAAGGAACCATTTTCAAGTGTGGTCGAGGATCCCTTCAGGGCATTACTGAGGTCAAAGCTGTTGCATATTACTAAGAATTTACTTGTTATTTTCACTCTCATTCTCTCCCAAGGATACAGTGGAGTTTTCCAGTGGCTATGAGGTCTGTGGTGACATTGTTGCCCTGATGGGTAATAGGGTCTGTGCTTTGTATTCTTGTGTTTTAAAAAGTCTCAATTTTAAGGTCTAATACAGTAAATACCTATTGATAGATATCACCTACATAAATAAAAGTTATTTGGGGCCCTCAGTCTAAGAATGTAAGTGTAGGTTTTGAGACCAAAGTGTTTGAGACCAAATACTAGAGAAAAGTAAATCTGACCAACGTAGGCTAATCCATTAGTATTTATAGAAAAGGGTTGGGGTGAACCACTTAGTTCATTAAGGCATGTGGAACATTTCGGCTTATAATGATACAGTACTTTCACTCTATTGATTAGTTTAAATGATGATTGTAGTAATAGTGCTGATTGTTTTGTTTTCTAAAGCGTATAAATGTTTCCTGTGGAATTGATACTTGGAGGTTATTGAATTTCAGATAGATCACTAGGTGACCATGGATGTGGACTACGTGCAGACCTGAAGCCTGAGCCTTCTGAGGACAGTCCTGAAAAATGACAGGCCTGAAAAATTGCGTTTCGGTTCACCCCATCCCACCACCATAAGTACTGAGAAAAGGGCTTCTTTGTTTCTTTTTTTTTAGTGGCACCTGTGCTAAATGAGCAATCATGCTATCATTTGCAGAATGGTTGGGAGAGGCCAAAAGAATCGCTCTGAGAATGCCAAGAAAGAAATTCTTAAAGCACCTGAGAGTCCTTGCTCTAGTCTGAGAATATTGTTGCGCTTGGCTAAGGGCTAAGGAAGCTGAGAGAGGGCCTCTGCTTTCTGGGGCTGTTTTAGCGCTGGTGTTATTTCTGTATTGGTTTCTATGGATTACTTTTTCTCCTATCATGAGTCATATTTTTCTGCTTCTTTATATACATAATGATTTTTGATTGACTGAGAGATAATTACTATTTAGACTTACTGAATATTTTGGTATTCATATAAATATTCTTTAGTTTTGTTCTAAAATACAGTTAAGTTATTTGGGAACGGTTCAATCCTTTTGAGGCTTGCTTTTAAGCTTTGTTAGTTGGATTCAGAACAGCCTTTAGTCAGCTCACCGATAAGTCAATAACTCTTCTAAGTACTCTTCCCAAAGTCCCGTGAATTTCAACATTTTTTCCACTTTGGTTGGTGTGACCTCTGAGCATTTTTCTTTGTAACCCTTCAGGTGGTCCTTTCCCTGGCTTCACACATATGCTGATCTATACTCAGCTGACGATTCAAGGGGAACTACTACAGATCTACAGAGCTCTTTCTGTGTGCAGCTCTCTCCTTTCTAGTAATTTGCCCAGTGAATTTGAGTCATCTTGGCTTTCCTGGACTCCTGACTCCTCCTCAGAGAGACAGTCAAGCTCCCCCAGGGGTCCGCTACCAGCACTTTGGTCTGCAAACCTCTCCAGGCAGTCAGCTGAAGCAATCATATGGCTCCTTTGTTGTCCCTCTTCTCAGCAATCACTGTCCTGTGTCACCTCATATCCAGTGTCTGAAAACTGAAGTTTCATATATCTTGTGTGCTCTTAAAGTTGTTTCAAATGAAAGGTAAAACTAATCCCTGTGATTCCATATTGGCCAGAGCAGAAGTATTTTTTCAAAAGTATAAGACACTCCTACTTTGAGAGTCAGTTGAAATGGTCCTTTACTATCAATACAATTATTTTCAGATGTGGTTAAGCAATAAAATTTCATGCCACTATAACATAAAGTCTGATCATGGTAATAATTCATGTGGATCTTTCTTTCTAGTTTGGCAGGAATTCATGTTTTCTACTCAGTAATCTTACTCTGCTTCTTTCCTGCACATATGTTACTTTACCTGAAATGTGTATTTCCTTTCCTTTGAATGTTGCCATCAACAACCTGTCATAAACTCAGTTCCCTTAGTGAATTCTTTCCTTTATTCTCTCCCTGTTAGTACCAAGGAGACTCTTGTGTGATACTAGGTGATTATTACTGAAATGTTGCTTTATTTATGTTCTTTGAATTCTTCATTTATTAAATATCCTCAGGTTCTGAATGTCCTAGGCTTTGTATAGCAAGGACTCTCTTCCATTTTGCTATTTTTCATTCTTGGGAAAATAGGCCCAATTTTTCTTTTCTCCCCATCTCATATAGGAATTGACATAAAGGGCAATCATTAAAATTACAAATGAGAAAGATTTTCTGGGTTTTCACTATTATTCATTCATATAAGATATGGACACAATGGTTTTGATTGGAAAACTTAATTTCTTTTCAGGTGATTCCAAGTTTGACTTACTATGTAAAGAAGAATTTATTGAACTCAAGGACATCTTCTCTGTCAAACTGAAACGGCGTTATTTTGCTAAACAGCAGGGAAATGGTACTTTATTGGGTATCACACTCTTCATCTGTTTGCAAAAGGAACAAAATAAATTAAAGGATTCTACACTTGATCTTATTAATTTAAGTGAAGACCACTGTGACATATGGCTTAGAAAGTTCAAGAAAATTTTGGCAGGTAAGTACTCCTTATGAAAATTTTTAATGAGTCTAGTTTCATTGATGTGAGTTATTAATCTAAGCATGATGTTGTATTTATGAGCACAGTAACTCTTGATTATGTTGAGGTAGTTTCCTTCTAATCCTAGTTTGTTGAGTGTGCTATTCACGAAAAGGTATTGAATTCTATGACATGCTTTATCTACATCAATTGAGATGATCATATTTTTTCCCTTCATTCTGTTAATGTGGTATATTACATTGTTTTATTATCATATATTGAACCATCCTTGCATTGCAGGAATAAATCCCACTTGCTCATGGTATATTCTTTTAATATGTTATAGAATTTGGTTTGCTGTTATTTTGTTGAGGATTTTTATATCAATATAAGAGATATTGGTCTATAGGTTTTCCTTCTTGTAGTAATTTTGTCTGGCTTTGGTATCAGGGTAATACTGGCTTCATAAAGTTAGGAAGTATCTCTTGAATGACCATTTCTATTAAGAAGCTTTGATAATTTGAAATAACATGGTTCTTAAATAATTTAGCTTACTTGAGAGTTGCTTCTGAGAGCATATTTTTTTCTATTAATGCCTCTTGAGCTTTTATTAGAATTTATTTTCCTTATACCTACACATTGATGGCAAGTGTATGTATGTACTGGATGATGAGAATAACAGTTTTTTGAATATAATATTTAAGTTGTTCATTTCAGGATAGATTTTTCTAAAGGCAAATATCAGAGAAAAGAACATATTTACTAGAATATTATCTCCTAATGAATTCAGTATATCTAAAACTGTAAGTGTCATTTATATTTTACATACCAAATAAAATGCATGAATACAAATACAATGCAATTTGGATTTTTAGAAGATATCTTGTTAAAATATAACCAAACTGAGTTTTAGGATTGATTTTTTTTTTCCTCATAGATTTGTAAATGTTGTTTACTTTCTTTTTAGCTCATTTCTTCCTGTTTGCCAGATTGATCAGGGTAGAAGCAGTTGGTGTGGTGGATGGTGCAGTCTGGAGTAAGGTGACACAGGACAGAGATGAGTGCTAGACAAAGAACAAGCACTTGGTGTTGTTAGACAGTTTTAGGCCAGGCATCATTAATCAAGACTGAGGACCCAAGTTGGTCAAGGGCAGCCAACTGATAAGGTTACATTTATAGAAGATAAGCTGACCTGACCTAGTAAAACTAGGTGACCTTGTTATTAAGTGGTCCCTATGCTTCCTTGTTAGTCCCTTTGGGACCTTCAAGGAGATTGCATTCTTTCAAGAAGGCAGGAAACCACAGAGGTCACAGCTTAATTTATCTCTCTGAAAAATAGAGAATATGTATTTAACTAAAAACATTCCACTTCAACAGTAGGTCTTTCATAGTGTTATTTTAACTTCATCTCAAAAGAGATAAAAAGCTAAAATAAAAAATTAGTTCAATTGAATTAAATTTCCTAATATGGGCAGGTACTCATGAGACTTGTATGGTCTATAAAATAAGAATGTGTCATTTGATTTAGAGAGGCAGAGCTCTCCCATGCACTGAAGATCCGAAGATGTCTTTTCCCGTAGGGCTTGTGAAGGGCTGGCTGAGTGATAGGAGAGGCAACTTCCTCAATATATCTCACCCATAAAACTAGTAGCGAGTAAGCAGAGGACATCATGACAAAGCTCAATTTAGTAAAAGCAATTTTATAGGAGTAGAGGGACTTGTCAAAAAAACACAAAACTGTTCAAATATCTTTTCAGCTTAATAAATGATGTTTTGGCTTGGTCTAAGGTTAAAATCTAGGCAAATTACAGAAATGAATAAACTACATATCTTTTAAGCTCTTTTGGGAATGTTGCTTTTTTGTAACTTTGATTTTGATAAAAGTTTGAGGCAGTAAATTATGTGGGGTCATATTCTCTGGCATGGTTCTGGAGTACACAGTGATTTTGCTGATTAAAAGTAAAGAGATTGACTTTTGAAATCAACCAACACAAACAAACAGACAAAACAGGGTTGAAATCATCTAATAAAAGTGAAGGAAACTAACCAGGACAGACTGAATGAATGTTCCATCTCTGCCCCCCAGTGGACTTAGCAGGTCCTGTAGGAGGAGCCAATTCCTCTGCCTCTCCACATGCCACAAAGACAGATCAAGGTGAGCTTCATCATACACAAATGAATGGTTAAGGCTCCAAAGTCTCTACTACATATTGTATTATACCTACACTTCTTTTTTAAGGTTACAGTCTTAGAACATTTTTCTTTATGTTTCTTTCACTTTCAAACCCATGTAATCCAGGTGTTCATTAAAGTGCCTATCATCTGAGAGTCAAACACAATTGGCAAAAGCCTCATTCCATAAGTGTCTTTCCTAGTCTTTCTGGGATGAGGGTGATTGCTTACTGTTTTCTGGTCCTCTCTGGCCCTGATTCCATGGAGTTAGGTCTATTTGTGAGTCACCTTCCTGTCTCACATCCATTGCCCCTGCTCTGTACTACATTGAATCAAGTTTGGCAGATGGTGATGGTTCCTTGGTTTCCAATTTTTTTTTTTTTTTTTAAGTCCTCACCCAAGGAATTTGTGTTTGAAGCAGACTTAAGTTTGAGGCAGGGGTGGGGTGTGATAGAAGTTTACATCACAAAAATAAAAATGACTTACAGTTGAATATTGGATGTCAGTATTTTAAGCCCAAAGAACTTGCCTTTAATTGGTGCTGTGATGAGACCAGAAAATTAAAAAAAAAAAAGTTTTTGCATCGATTTATTTGAATATTGTCTTTAATCAGCAAATGGAATATTTGTTTTTCCTGCCAGCTTTCTACACCTTTCCCCCTTTTTCCTTTGTTAATAAAAAGATGAAGACATTAAAAGCCTCAGTCAGATGGTCCTTTAGTCTAATTCTAACAATTATAATTTTAGTATATTTGGATCTTAAGAGTTATTTTCATATTTGCACATTTATATTTTAAGCTGGAGCAATGAATAAGATGTGATGAATTTTTGAGGAAAGAACAAATTGGCAGCTCTAGAAGGAAAAAAAAGGCAACTCAAATACTTTGTTATAAGACTAATTGACAAAGAGTGACCAGATTATAGTGGGTTTATAAATATTTTTTAAAAAGTCTTATAACCATTTCCATTCTTATTTAAAAAATAAGTTAAGTCTTTTTACAATCCAATTTTTTTTAACACAGTTGAGCACAACATTTTTTTTTAATAATGGAAAGTCACCATAACTTTATTCACTAATAGGAAGTATAGGTTAATTCATCCAACATACATTTTGTATCAGACACTGTATTAATTGCTGGGAATATAAAAATAAATGAGATATAATCTGGTATAAAACACTCTTGCTCTTGGAGACAGACAAGAACACTTGTATTATAAAGGTTAATACCTTGAAAATATGAACAAACTAATAAGGATCAGAACCATTGATCATTGATTCACAAATTCAAACCTTTAAAAGAAGTAATTGATTAAAGCTGATATGTAGTCGGTAGTAAGGCTAAACATATGAGTAGTCATTGTGGTGAAAGTCATTTAACAGTCTTTTCTGCTTTTTTTATGCCTGTGATACAAAGATAAACATGCACAACCTTTAAATATATTGGGTTGTTGGAAAAGTCATGACGTATTTTTTCTGTTTTTCGTTGCAAAAATGTGTCATGACTTTTCAGACAACCCAATAGCATGTGTGTAGACTAGATATGTTAATTTTTATTCAATTAGGGTGTGATCTAGTCTTCACATATTTGGGTTTCCTAGAAATACTGAATTGCAAGCTCTTCTGGATCCCAAACCAACCTTTTTTCTAGATACTATCATCTATACTTTAAAGCATATTCATATTGGAGATATATTACAATATCCTGTTGGAGATGTTTGGCAGGCTGGTATTTTGAGAGGAATATGTGAAGAGGTGAAGAAGAAGAGTTGATATGATGGGAATAGATAAAAGTAGCAAAGAAGTCATACAGAGTTAAAAAACAAAGCAGTGGACTAAATAGAGAATCTTAGGGGATACTCATATATTAAAATAGGCAGAGAAGATAGTACCCAGAACTAAAAAATAGCAGAAATGGTGAGGGAAACAGAAAAACACTATAGCACAGGATCGTTTAATTTTGTTATATTTAGGATTTGCTCATTTATTTTTAATATTTAATGGCTACCCAGAGACAATTAATAAAGGAATTTTTAGCACATATTTGGTTGCGTTATTTCTGATAATTTTTGTTTCATTTCTAGTGCTAATTTCATGAATAGGAAAATACAAATCATCCATATTTAATACATTTTGTCCTTGTCATGCAGCCTCTCTTCTCACTCAGTTTTCAGCTATGAAAACTAAATTGGAAAAAATTACTTAGGATAGAAAATAAATATTTAAGAAGAGTAATTTTTTCTTGTTTCCTACTATATGTTAAATCTGTTTCCCATGTGATAATACTGTTGATCTTCATTGGATGTTTTCCTTGATAGCAAAGCCAGGGCTTCTTAAAACATTGATTTTGTTTAATATTTATGTTGTCATATAAAAAAATCATGGTGAAATATATATTTGGATTTCTTTTTATTTTATCTAAGCTGTATCAATTATATTATGAACCAGGCAGAATTTTTTTTTTTTTAGCAGAACAGACTGATGTGAAGTTTTACTTGGATATGCTGCCAAATAATGTACTTATAAGCAAAAATAAACTGGAAATCAACATTACGATGATTATTTTAAAATGAACAGTTGTTATATGTCAAAAGTATGATAGCTTCAGACATTTGGTTGCTCACTATTTGAATTGGCAACACTTATCTCCTTAGGGACAAGTTATTTTCTGCAAGAACATTATGTTTGAAATATAGGTAGTTTCTCTTGAAGCACCAAAAAAGTGATATGAGTCTTTGTTTTAGGACCCGTTGAGTTGGACATTGAAATCATGCACGTCACTTCTGAGTATGTTTTTACTATCAATATGTATTATAGTAATGTGAAAACTGATTAAATATGCAATACCT